TTGAGCCGAAAGGCAACGGATCAGACAGCAGCGACTGACTACTGGACATCGGACTGTCGCGGCCGCTCTTGAACAGGTCTAATTCAGGTAGATCGGTTGCTACCTGACCACTTAGCATCACATCTCTGCCCAGATGGATACCGCTGTCTTCGCCGTCTAAGCTGAACGGCATCGTCATCACAGACATTTCTTCGATATTGTCGCATGATATTGTCGGCGTCGTCAGATTGCTAGCGCTGGTAGCCAAGTAGTTCAGATATGAACACGTGGTCTTGCTATCGACGCTAAGCTCGGTGTCGTTTGAACAAGGCACATTGCTGTTGGTCGGTACAATCGTGGGGGACAACGCCAGTGAGGGCAAAAACGCGTCGCTTTGGTTTTGAGTGTACTTGTTCAATTCGACAAATGCACCGACTCCATTCGCGCCGGCTGAAGAATCCGGCGATACCAACTGCTGTTGCTGCTGTAATTGCAAGTTATTGACAGGGTTCGCATTACTGCTAGATGTAACAACCTCGTTACAGGAGGGGACATCGTTATGGAGGTTATGGTGCCTCTTCAAATGTGCCTTGAAATTGTCTGGTCGAGAAGTAGAATAGCGGCAGTGCGAACAACGGAATCGTTTGCCCGGTGAGTGGATTTTCATATGACGCGTCAGGCCAGAACGGTCGCTGAACGCCCAGTCACACTGATCGCACTTGAATTCCTTCTTATTGCTGTGCGTCAAGATGTGGTTTTTCAGCTGTGTCTTTCTAGGCGCCGTGTAAGAACAGCTAGCGACAGGGCAGCGGAACACGTCTCCTGAATGAATGCGTTTGTGAGCCGTCAGATGTGACTGATACTTGGCCGAAAACGGACACTGGTCACACGGAAACGCCCGCTCAGTCGAATGGGTTGCCATGTGCTGCTTAAGCGTACACCGATTTTTAAACGACTTACTGCAGACGCTGCAGTGAAATGTCCGTTCGTCTAAAAAACACGTAGTGAACAACTGGGTTGCAAAATTAAAACACTACGAAATCCAAAATATGACAGTTTCGGATTTAAAAGATCGTCGAAAATGTTACACGATGCATGCAACAACTGTTCTGGCGAGTAATGAGGGGGAGCATTTAAGCAGGCCACCGCTCGATGGCATTTGAGCACATGCAGCGCAATCTCATACTCATCACTAACGATACTTCAAGACCTAATATTCCACAAATGCTACCAAACAAATATCATAAGTTGTTCGTACGCCGGAGTATGTCAAATAGCGAATAACTCCTCCAAGACCAGATTCCAGATATCAGTTTATGACAGGACAATGTTATTCTTACCGGCGGTATTGAAAACTAGAAGTCAGCTAGCAAATTTATAATTAGATGGTTTATTTTTGACAAACGGTGAACAAAATAAAATATTTTTTTCCGGAGTGATTATGGATTGAACACCACTGAAACTTTAACGCTTATTAACGCTATGTAAGGTAAATGGCAAGGGATACATTGACTTGCATCAATCTTCTGGTCTATATGCCTTAAAGACAGTCTTCGCAGTTCTCGTTTAGGTGCCTTTTTTGCTAAAGTACATGTTGCTCATTTTGGTTCATACATGAAGAGAAAGACATCATTAAAAAATATACCAAAACCGCTAAGATAACATGTTATCGACCGCTCCTCGCTCCTAGCTGCCTAGAGAACCCTTAGATCACGCTAGGGCTTCTTAGTTCTACAACAACCGCAAGAGTGGTTAAAAAAACGTAATCAGATAACACCTACCATATCTCCTCCAGTAGACAGATACTAATAGAAATGCGTTTATAAGCAAAATTCGATTTTTGATATCATCAACCACGGTAACGTAACAACATAAAAAATCGTTACTGTCATTTTGGCTGGAACTTCATCGATTTCTTCCAAGTATGACGGCTAAAGGGTTACGCTGTTCGCTATGCCAAACAAACGATCAACGGATGTTTTCGTAATGCATCCGTTTCAGCAAACCGAAACGTTAAGCAGAGACGGAAACGTTTCATTAACGATCGAGGTTTACCAACACTCATAAGATCATCAGTGCTGAATGGTTTCATTCATCAAGAAATCGACCCGTTTATGAATTATGAGCCCAAAATCAAAAACTTTAAAATAAATTTCAAAAACGATATATTTTATTTTCAACATGATCTCTAAAGCACGAAACACTGGGAGGGATCTATGTCCTGACCATGATGTCTGCAACATCGTTGGGTAAGGCGACTTACAGCCAAAGAAAGTCAAAGACACTAAACTGAATGCCTCTTTGATAGATGGCTAAAACGCCGAAATAAAAAAAGGCAATAAAATCTACCCTCAATCAGCAATGGCCATTTCAAGCACTAGATGCTACATCAACGCATAGTAGAAAGACTTGAATCTGACTTTGGAGAAGCGCGCGTTTCGATGATTCACAAGGATGAAATGAGGATCAAACTTAAACGAGTCCCTTCGCACGCTAAAAAAACACTAAACATACAATGAGCACTCCTCACTCGCTGACATGGGCAACGAGTGATTAATATTACACAAACTCAACATGGCACAATGAACGACATCAAACATCAATCAGATTAGAGTTTGATACAACGTTTTGCTGACATAGCGTTTTGCTTTAATCAATCTTGATGACGATGTCGAATGTTAAATAAAAATTTTAGTTTTTTTATTTTGAAGTCATAGCCATGTGTCAAAAAATATTCATTAATCGATCATGAGCCAAAGATCCAAATGTCCCATAAGTTAAATTTCGTTATTACTAACTATTTTTCAATTCCTGTCAAAGCGTATTCTGAAAGGCATGTGCTTCGATCGTGAAATCTCAAACAACGTTGAAACGGAAAACTAAGCAACAACAAAGGGGGACATTCAAAATGAACTCGAGTTTTCACGCCGGCATTAAGAAAAAACCACTAAAAACGAAATCCTACAAATCTTGAAGATGAATACAACAGCTGTCACTCGCTAACATATGTTATTCGCGATCAAATGACCGCTCCACTTCCATCAAACGGTTATTTCATAGATATCCCTATATTGGAGTACCTAACGCTGACGGAGGATGTAAAATAGTAGAACATAATTGAATAAGCAACGGTAAAGTAAACCTTTATGCAAACGGGTATGCATCATGAGATTTGACTTGGTGCGGCCACTGTAACTGCACTCTGGACAGCTGTAAGGCCTCTCTCCAAAGTGTTTCAGGACGTGAACCAGCAGATTTTGAATGGACGCTGTTTTATATTCACATCGATCACACAGAAACGGGGGACCCTTAACGAAAGAATAAACGCGCATTCAGAAAAGCTTCAAAAGTTTCGTAGCGATACCTTGTAGTGTCCCCTCATGTGATCATAGTACTTCCGGTTGTACTTACAAGTGAAGCCGCACAGCCTGCAAGAATAGGTTTGATTTATTCTGTGCACCTTGCTCAGATGCACCTGCAAACGACTCAGCAAACTGTTTCTGTATTCACAGTGAGGACACTGATAATACACCTAAACACAGAAGCAGTATTACAGTGAAATATGAGCGGAGAAAAATGTGGTTATTTCTAAATTACAACAAAAATTTCCAGTAAAAAATAAAAAATTGATACACTACCTTTACCTGGTTTGGAACACGTATCGAGCAATGTACATCTTATCATGTTCATGCGATAGCATTTGAGGAGTACCAGCCCCTAAATCGTTCGTAATGAGCGCAAGGACCCCCCAGCAGACAAAATGATGCGAGATGCATCTGACACTGCAGCGGCTTATATAGCATGTTGCCATGGCTTGTTTAAATCTCCCCCCCCCGAGGAA